AATTAATCTGGAGATTAAAAATGAGAGGAGAACAAGCATTATTTAATCTCGAGATTAAGAAAATGAGTGGATCAAGCATTAATCCCGATATCCACCATTCAAAAGTGTCCAACTTTGCACTCACTTTAAATGCTAAAACTTATTTTGAGTGTACAGTCTTACAGAAATGTCGACCTAATCTCAATTATGTGACCCAGTTATATTTTTCTCATTGTTAACAAGACACAGGTTTACAGGCAACGTTGTGAACCAGGCATGTAACTTTTTTGATAAAGGGTTTCTTTAAATTACTTCGAAACTTCCATTTAAAGAAAGATACTAGTATTGTCAGCACCTACATGGCTACCCACAAAGGATGAGACTTCAGAGACGATTGTACTGAATTTGTTAAGTCCATTTTCTTGCATTCAGGGTTCCATGTTCAATAAACCATCAAAATACATTAGTTAATGCAAAAACCAAAAATCAAACTTCAAATCGTCATTTTTTAGAGTTTTGGGTCGTCTTTACAGTCTCATCCTTTGTTGGTAACCATGTATATATTGTAGAGCTTTAATAAAATAGTAACCTGCAAGCAAACAGTTGAACGCCAGCTGACTTCAACGAATCCACGAACTTGGAATATTTTTTGCTTTTCTTAGTTCTAGACCTGGACATACTTTATATAGGTATAATCAAGGGAAAAAATAAAACGTCCTTGTTAACCAATGTTTTCTATAAAAATCTTAAGATTTGGAAATGGCCGGATAAGTAAAACAACTTATAGATCTTAAAAAATTATCAAAATGTTTGAATGAGCTTTTTCTTTTAATTTATACGGTTATCCACAAAGAATGCGACTTCAGAAACGATTGTACGGAATTTTAAATTTGTTTCTTTATTTGCACTACCACTCATATCAGTAAAAAGGCAGGAAAATTGTGTATTTATGGCAGAAAACTTGGCTTAGCTTAGAAAAAAGCTCCAGGTCGTCTTTACAGTTTCATTCCTTGTGGTTACCCTTGGAAACATAAGTTTTAATGGGAAACCTGTAATATAGTTTAGTTCGCTCCCAACCTTCCCCAGACTGATCTTTGTCCAGCATACAGTCGTACAGGCACACCTTAGTAGTTAAATTAGGTACAGATAGTTAAACTACATACAGATAATTAAACTAGATACAGATAGTTAAACTAGGTACAGATATTTAAACTATAGGTACAGATAGTTAAACTATAGGTACAGATAGTTAAACTATATGTACAGAAAGTTCAGCTAGGTACAGATAATTAAACTAGGTACAGATAGTTATACTAGGTACAGATAGCTAGACTATAGATACAGATAATTAAACTAGGTACAGACATTTATACTAGGTACAGATAGCTAGACTACAAATACAGATAGCTAAACTAGGTACCAATAGTTAAACTAGATACAGATATTCAAACTAGGTACAGATATTTAAACTAGGTACGGATAGTTAAGCTAGGTACAGATAGTTAAACTAGGTACAGATAGTTAAAATAGAAACAGATAGTTAAATTAGGTACACATAGTTAAACTAGGTACAAATAGTTAAACTAGGTTCAGATAGTTTTACTAGGTACAGATAGTTAAACTAGGTACAGATAGTTAAACTAAGTACAGATAGTTAACTAGGTACAGATAATTGAACTAGGTACAGATAGTAAAACTAGGTACAGATAGTTAAACTAGGTACAGATGGTTAAACTAGGTACAGATAATTAAAATAGGTACAGATAGTAAAACTAGGTACAGATAGTAAAACTAGGTACAGATAGTTAAACTAGGTACAGATAGTTAAAATAGAAACAGATAGTTAAATTAGGTACACATAGTTAATACAAGGAGAGAAAAGTTTTAGCCTTCTAAAGAGAATACTTCATTACACAAGATGTACTATGACGGAGAGCAGACTTAACGATCTTGCACTTATAGCTTTACACCCTAAAAGGCTGTCTGAGCTCTCTACTGAAAAAATCATTAAAATGTTTTTGCAAGCAAATCCCAGAAAATTGTAGCTTAAAAGAGTTGGTGAATATGTAGATTGAGTAAATTCTATCTAAAACATTCAGAAGAAATTTCGTTTATTAGTAAAAATATAATTTTTAATGATGCTGTGATTATTGATTTATGGTATTTTTATGGTGAACAAAACAAGTCCAGGTGGGAGGGGGGCAAAAAAAATAAAAAGGTATCAATATTTTTTCAAAAAAGGGGTTTTTAAGGGGGGGGCATACTGTTGCCAAGGGGGGGACCCCAAAACTTTTTTTTGCGCGCTTACGCACGCAAATTATGCCCCCCTCCCTAAACAAAAGCCCTCGTACGCCCCTGATGGGTATAGAATAGATAGTTTAACTTGCATGTTCAAGCAAAGAATAGAAAACCTTGATAGGAGCTTTTAACGCCTGCAAGCTTTCTTCTTCTTCTTCTGTGAGACGATAGAGAAATCCCTCCAATATAGAACCAACACCATTATCTCCTGAGGGTAGTGTTGTTAATCGTTTAGAATCATTTTCTTTAAATTTATAAAACTTTATAGAATCCAAACTGTATCATGTTTGCCTTTAATAAACTTTGCTACAGCTCAATCCTTAAAAAAATGGAAAAACGATCAAAAACGCACGGTAGAACGCGTTCGTTTTTGCATCGTTTTTGGGTCGTTTTTAGCAAATATCTTTTGTCAGGGTCAACATTTTACATAGTGTAAAAAATGCAAAAATGGCCCAAAAACGAAACACCTGAAGGCACCCCCCTCTAATACTTCACTACCCGGGGGTTGATCTAGTCCCCCTCCCCTCTCTAATACTTCACTACCTGGGGGTTGATCTAGTCCACCTCCCCTCTCTAATACTTTACTACCTGGGGGTTGATCTAGTCCCCCTCCTCTCTCTAATACTTCACTACCTGGGGGTTGATCTAGTCCACCTCCTTCCTCTAATACTTCACTACCTGGGGGTTGATCTAGTCCACCTCCCCTCTCTAATACTTCACTACCTGAGGGTTGATCTAGTCCACCTCCTCCCTCTAATACTTCACTACCTGGGGGTTGATCTAGTCCCCCTCCCCTATCTAATACTTCACTACCTTGGGGTTGATCTAGTCCACCTCCTCCCTCTAATACTTCACTACCTGGGGGTTGATCTAGTCCACCTCCCCTCTCTAATACTTCACTACCTGAGGGTTGATCTAGTCCCCCTCCTCCCTCTAATACTCGCACATAAACATCTCCCAAACTTTCATCAGACCTAAACAAACAATTTGAAAAGATATAGAGTAAATAATTATTTGTAATCTCTTTTTTATTAATAAGGAAAATGTAAGTTTCTGGAATGGTTTTTTTGTAGAGAAAATTTCTAATTTCAACCAAATAAAAACAACAATAAAACATACTTAATTTTTGTCAGTCAAGAGGAATCCACCTTTGATTAGTTGAAACAATATTATATAAATCTATATATATACTTGGCTTGTCTGTCTGTGTGTTTGTATCTAATAAACGTAAAAACGGCTGAACCGATCGGGCCTATATTTTTTGTGAAACCTCGCGTGACCTGCAGGGAAGGTTTATGGATGATCGAATTTTAAAAAATTTGCCTCCCTCAAAATTTTTTTTGAAAGTTTTGAAAATCCGCGACATTTTTATAAAATCCGCGAAATTTTTGTTTGTTTTTGTTGTACGATGTACACAAAGAGAACTTGTTTCAATTTCAAATCCGTTTTTTCTCGCATAATGAAATTTTATTTCAAGAGCTTTTAGTTTTATACATTTCTGAATTTAAACCATAAGGCAAAGGATCGTTACTGAATGATTTTATAATTTGTTTCGTCTTATCTTTACTACCAGAGACTTTAATAATTCCAAAACTATAAGAAAATAACGAGAAAACCTATAACACAAAAATATATGTTTACTTACCTAATTGACATCAGCCAAGCTTTGAGAATTAGATTACTGATTTTGTTTATCTCATTTTTCAATAATCCTGTTCCAACCTTAATATAAATTTACTCTTCATATATCTACATACATTCTTTGTTTGACTGTTTGTATCCAAAAAACGTCTACACACGGCTGAACCGATCTGGCCCAATTTTTTTTGCGGTGCCTCACATGACCCCTGCAGGGAAGGTTTATGGATGATCAAAGATTCAAAAATTAGCCTCCGACAAAATTCGATTTCCATTAAATTTTGAAAATCCACAAAATTTTTTTTTATAAAACCCACAGACTTTTGTTGTAAAATGTTGACAATTGAAATAAGAGATTGAAAGCTTTGTATTTATGTATTTGGCACGTATAGATGATGTTGCATTGTATTTTTGCAACATAAACGTTAACCCTATCAAGATTGGAGGGGTGGGGGCGGGGGGATTTTTCCACCCCCCCCCCCTTTAGTTTGTCTCCACAACTATTTTTTTAAATGTACATTGTACAAAACTTATCAAGAAGATCAGTCATACTGGAGTGATACCATGGGAGGTGTATTAGATTCAATAAATTACGTAAAATCGAAAGAAATATTAAAAATCTTAATTTTTTGCAAAACATTAAAATAAATCTTATAAATATGCAAGCATTGACATTCATAAATTTTTATTGAATGAATTGAACAACAAGAAATTATTCATTCATCCTTTAAAATATCATAGCTTTCCCCCGCCCCCGCCCCTTTCCATTCTCATGGGGTTCAAATGGAGTTGAATATTTTTGAAAGTTTTCTTTGTGAATAATTCAATTTCAAAGTTGTGAATTAAACAATTGAATTAAGCAAACTGTTTACCTTTGAAGTTAGATTAGTTGTTATTAAACTCATAAGACTGAATACATCTCCTATATCTATATTATATTTATTGTATTTATATATAATATTATATTTGAAGTTAGATTAGTTGTTATTAAACTCATAAGACTGAATACATCTCCTATATCTATATTATATTTATGATATTTATATATAATATTAACTTCATCATCAGTTAAAATTTTTACAAAAGTCTTAAAATTTCAGAACTATATTCTCTACAAGTTTGCTGATGTTACACCATACCAATTTAACAAAAGATTGATATTGCTTTCTTCAGTTTAATTTTTTTGTGGAACCTCACTTGATCCCTGGGAAAGTTTATGGATGATCAAATTTTCAGAAATTTGCCTTTAACAAAATTCGACTTTTGAAAATTTAAAAATCCAAAAAATTTTTTTATATAAAATCTGCAAAATTTTTTTTGTTTGTTTGTTTCACTATGTACTGTATATAGAAAGAAAAAAATTCACAATTAAAATAGAAGATGGGCGCAAAGCGCCCTAAAAGCCCAGTAGTTATATATTCTAATAACATAAATATTTAGATCTTAAAAAAGTTCTTTACTTTGTCAGGATTAAAAATTCCTATAATTTTATTAAATCAAATTGATAAAAAATTATAAATATAAAAAAAAAACACATCATATCCCACTTTCTACCCATACAAAAGAATTGTAAGAAGGCATATAAGTTATACCTATTTTAATTCTGGCCTTCTCAAGAATATCTGGAAGAACTGACAAATCTACAGTTTTATTTCCAAACTTATCCTGTTCAATGTGCAACAAATAAATAAAAACTAGAATTTACGATGGTAAAATTAAGTATTTTCTGTAAACAGTAAGAAAAATGTTTAAATTACATTTGAAAAAGGTAACTAGTTGGATGTCATAAACACAAACCAAGAAAATAAAGCTAAATGTTTATTAAAGGGTCCGGGGGAGTCCAACCAAAAAATAATGATAAAAAGAACTATTAACGTTATTTCAAGTGACCCTGGCATGCCTAATACTCTTTCAAGATTTGTCTGATTAAGTATAAATTGGACATATTTTTTCAGTTTTTGACTTGCGCATTTCTTGCCTCAGGAAAACATATGAAGAAATTATCAAATTTAGAAAACTACGTTATCACAATTTGTGATTTTATTTATTTGCCTGAACATCTAGGAGTTGAACAGCCAAGGAACAGAAGTAAAGTCTAAAGTCACTAAAAAAGAAAAAAACCTTGAATTAAAAGTATTATATGATTTTTAGTAAAAGATATTTTAGATTTAAACAATACATTTAATACATAATAATAAGTTTAACTTATTTCAAGCAATCTTCTATTTAGCGCAGGGTTGCCAACTGCCTGGGCTAAAAAGATAACAACTTGATAGTGAAAAAAACACTAGGTTGCACTTGAAAAATAAAACATACCCAGCCGGACAAAAAAACACCAAAAAGGTAATAAAACACCAAGGTTGGCAACCCTGATTTAAAGTGAGAAATCCTCGATAAAAAACGGTAGTCTTTAATTTTGTGAATGTTAAAGAATAACAGACTTTTCTTTTTTATCAACAGAAACCTTTAAATTGTTGAGCACTGTGTTTGCAAGCTTTTTTGTATTTGAGAAATATTGTTTTTACTTATTTACTAATACTAATATCTCTGTCCTCGATTATCAATGATCGATGATCGACGATTAGTCCCTTACCTTGTACTTTAATAAAAAAATAGTAAAATGTAAATGCTAGAAGATGTTACCAAATAATGTGAGAATTTATAAAGTTCTATTTAGGAAAACAACAATAGGGTTTTAGAGTATATGACGGCCAATATCAGATCAGAAAATATCTTTTTTCCTTTTCTATATTTGCCGAAGTCTGGCACTCCCAAATACAGGTTGAAAAGTGCTTTGTCACAAACGCAGTAATTTTAAAAGAGAATTAAGTGTTCACTCCATGGTGAAATGGGTAATTTAATGATAAAAAACTATAAAATTTAAAAAATTCTTTTTCTAGAAATTCTTAAAATACAAAATAATCATTTAGTTGAAAGGATAAAAAATACCTTAGAGATTTAGAAGTTGAAACAAGGATTTCAACAAGAGGACTATCAAGCCTAAGAATGGAAAAAGTATAAAAATGTGGACTAGGAGAACAATATTTTAACAATTTCACGTATATTTGATGTTTATATAAAGCAAACAGTTTTACCATAGTGTGGACTAGAAGAACAGCATTTCAACAATTTCACGTATATTTGATGCTTTTATAAAGCAAATAGTTTTACCAAGGTATTGGACTATTTAAAAACATTTAACTATACAGTCGTGTTCCTATTCTACAGTTTATTTTGGATCCCACTATGAGGTTGTCGTCTTTTGTCTTATTTTTTAATTGCTCCTTTTATTGTAGATTATTCTAAAATTGCTTGGGAACCCAGCGCTGCCAAGGTTACTTCCACGCACTTCATATTTCATATTTCATGTTCTGAGTCGTTGGCCCTAAGTTAGTTAACGATATTAATGTAGAGACATATTGAACGATTGCACCGGGAAGCTAAATTTTCGCTGTTAAAGTCGTCCCACTCAACTTAGAATCTTAAAACCAAGCATAAGAACATTCACGTAGGCCTCTCGAGTTCCCTAATCACAATTTGAGTCAAATTGGTCCATGAGTTCCTGAGTTATGATCGGACACCCAAACGGACACCCAAACAGAGATCACAATTTTATTTATAAAGATGAATTGAATATTTCGTATTCTTACCTCATGAAATCGAAGAGACGATCCGAGCTTGAAGTGACAATCATCGTATCTAACAAAAAATAATTTTTGAATTTTGAATTTTTTATTTTTTGATAATGAAATGTTCTCACCTGCTAGAGATAAAACCATTTTTAAGTGTCCTCTTGGACCCATACTGGAGCTCACTAACTTATGAAACGCTTTTAATTCATCCTTAAACATTTATAAATTGATAGATTGAACAAATTTTAAATTATTGATTTTGTTGTTGATCTTATTCGTTTTTATAATATGCAGATATGTTGCTAAACTTTTTCTCTGCCTATTATATACTATTCATAAAAATTACTAATCTAAAATTCCTTGAGTATTCTACAGTTTTCTGAATCTCCTTGTATATACGTTACACAATACAGAGCGTATTTTTTAAATTAAATACTTTTTGTGCGAAAACTTTAGATTTTTCTTCTCTTGTTTTAAAATTAGCTCCCAAAACGAAAATTGTTAAAAACATCTCAAACAGGTGGTGTAAAAGTTTTCATAACTCTGTTCGTTCGAGAGCTAGAACAACTGCAGACAAATATTTTTTAGATCTGTCAAAAAAACAAACACAAGAGGGTTGGAGGAGCAGCCGGGGGGGGGGGGGTCAAAATCGTACAATTAAGCATTATTTTTTTTGACGTTTTTCCAAAATCTGGCCTAACATATACAGTATACTCTGTTTTTTTATGGATGGCCATTTTATATATTTAGACAAACATTAGTCAATTTTCATTAGTTATTCAACTTGCTTCATGTTAAAAATATATCTACCTTTGCTTGAGTGTCATTTAAACATATCTCCATTGGAAAGTCATATTTTCCGTCCATTATTAATTTTCTCTCTCAAAACAACAACAATATGTTTTGGGAAATCAGAATCTTGTTACTTAATCCACAGTGTAATCATATTCATCCTGTTCTTTAAATAAAAACTCCACGAGAATGATAATACCGAAAATAGCGAAGAAACCAATGACAATAAAAAAACTGAATTTCTCCGGATCCACGGAGTTCTTCTTGAACGCGCGTTTTGGTAGTTTGAGCACAGTTCCACGGGGAAACTTCATTTTCAACTAGTTTCCTTGTTTAACACCATTCTCAAATCTGAATATATATAAATTACTGATCATTTTCAGGTGTGGTTTGATTTCTCTAAAAAAGTTCCTTGGGAAACAACGGTAAAAGTAGCAGAATTAAACACTTTTCCAGCTTATAGAAAACATTATTTATTAGATTAAAGGGATAGTGTGCGTAATTTTAGTTTACCCTCCATGCAAAGATTGAAATGCCCAATTTACAATAGTAGTACTAAAATCTATGACTGATCAAGCTTGAATTCTCCATTTTTTTGATAACCGGTTTTTTATTAGTGGTTTTTATGCAAACTTGACTTGAGCATGAGCATATCTGGAGGAATTATCAGAATTAAACACTTTTCAAGCTAGAAAAACGATTTTAAGTTCCACATAATTAATTAGATTAAGCTGATTCGTTGGTATGTTGTGAATTTGACCATGCCGCATGCTTCATCTATAAAAGGACACTTAAAATTACAACTTGATAGCCCGGTTAAAAAAAACATAGAAAAAATAACAATTATTACTAAATCACCAAAATGATGGCAACAACTTCAATTTGCAGAAAATTAGATTAATTATTGAATTTCAAGCAGGGTGTACCATGAAACATGACAGTTGGTATTGGTAAATAGTTTTGAATGTCTTCTTCCATATACTGTATTAGATATTAAAGACTTTTCGCAGTTTATTTCGTTAAAAAAAGGTTTTACTCAAATATCTTTTACTTTGAATTAAATTTTTCTATAATATGACTGCCATGGAATATTTCTATTAATCTTTGGTATCAAATATCTTAACAAATTATGGAGGAAGACATTTTAAACTATTCACCATGCTGTCATGTTTCGTGGGACATCCTGTATCTTAAGATTTGTTTGCTTCAATAATAAATGCTTAATATTGATTATGAATTAACAAATAAATTGTTTAAATATATATGATACAACTTTTCTAAATTATGGAGAAAATGTACATTTAATCAAATTATTTTAAATTGGAATAGATTCAAAAACAAATAACAAACTTAACTGCAAGCCTGAAATAGGTTCACTGCAGTTTATGTTTAGAGTTTGAGAAAGCAATGTGGTTGTCTGCAGACTACAGTGGAATAATAATATTGAAAGGAATCCAACCAAGGGCTTTCCCCCCACCCCACCCCCTCCACATAAAAATCGACGCGACCGGAAAGGAACAGGGAACAACTTTCTCATTTGATGATTTGTTTAGCAAAAAATATTTTTCAATTCTAAAAAAAATCTACTTCAATTTGAGAATTCTCAAATATTCCTCGAATGTTAATTTTTCTTCCGAGAAACGATGCATTAATGCATTTTATGCAGGGTTACCCACAAAAGATGAGACTTTAAAGACGACCTGAAACGGATTAAATCTAGGACAATCCCAAGATTAAATAAATTCTTCTAGTACACCTTGAATACAATCTTCATGGCTTTTGAAAGATTAGACATTAAGACAAGTTTACGATTGCAGAGAAAAAAAAATATTAAAGAAAACAGACAGTAAAAATTCTGTTTAGTCGTCTCTGAAGTCTCATCCGTTGAGGGTAACCCTGTAGCTTTAAGGTCGAGCTATTTTTCTATAATTTCCACTCAGATCGAGTTTACGACCGCTGTCTGAAGGGGCCGTGGCCCGTGAACCAAATTATTTTTTGAAATACTTACACAGTACACACGCTAAAAGTTCATCTCCCCTGACTGAGCCTCTAGTGCGCCTCTGTCTTCTATATGTTTATTTAATAATTTGGCAAAGAAAGAAATTAGAAGTTCACAGTTGCAGGGAATCATGATATAAGCTGAAAGTTGAAACATGCATGAAATGTGTAAATGCATTCTGTGCAGTCGAGTCTCTGAGGGTCTCATCCTTTGTGCAATGTGCATGGGTATGCCTGTTTATTTTTTTATCAGTACTATATTTGAACATAAATTAATTGATTTTCATTTTGTTCATAAATAAAAATGGGTATAATGTTACATAGTTTATATACGCAACATCCCCCGTGCTGAACTTCTGACCTACTAACTTTCCGACCTACAGCATTAATATCGGACCTACGTCAGCTGTTTATTTTTGTATTACTTGAGGGTTAGGTTAGGTTTATTAAGAAAAATTATTTTTTTAGAGATTAAGGATCACTTATAATTAATTTTTGTTTTCAGGAGTCCGAGTAACCAATGTCTTTGTTCCAATATTTTACAAGAAGATTATTGATAAGATTGCTGAGACAGGGATGTTAGAATCTAAAATATTTTCTTATTTAAAAAAATGTAGATATCTGCAATTGTGAAATGTGGATTCGAAAATCAGTTTATAATGAAGCTAACATATCTGGAGCAGGAACTAATGCTAAGGACTGGCCCTGGGATATGGTTTCTATCTGGATGGTTTTAAAGCTACTCCAGGGTAGTGGTACAGGAGGACAAGGTTTACTGAACAACTGGAGATCCTTATTATGGATCAAGGTCAGGACTTTTTTTCTTATAATCGTTCTCTATTGAGTTTTATTTCCTTTTATTTCCTTTTAAAGCCTCACTTACTCAGAAGGGTTTCTGTGAAGGTTTTATAAATCTTGTTGTTACGTTAGTTTCGTAAGAATTTTAAAACTCAATTGCTTCACTTGATTTGTTTGGACCATAAAGATCTGAACAACTTTGAGAACAACTTCAATTTTAGTAAGATGAATTTGACTTTTAAAGAAAAAATATCTTTAACAACCACTGAAAAACAATTAAAGTTATATTAAAATTCTGACCCTATTCTAGTGACCCACTGCCAACAGTTCTTGTTAACAGATTTTTGGTTTCTTGTTCTTACAATCGTAATTTCATATATTTGCAATTTTTGGAAACAAAAAAAATTTAGTTATGTCTTGTCATTTGTTTGTTCGACTTATTTCAAAAATGACTAAACCTCAAAATGTCGCTTGTCATAAGAAAACTAAAATATTAAAATGCCCCAACTTTAATTATTTAATTCTCATTGTTTAAACTTGTCATTATGTTCAAAATTCTGGAAACTGTAAACTCCTGATTTAGGTTCAACAGTTTACTACTCTGGAGATACAGGTTGGACTCTTCAAACATCTTCACAACCTTAGTCTCAGGTTAGATTTTTGTAGATCAAACAAAATATGATTTTTAAAGGGTCTTATCAGATTGCCTACCAAAAAAAATTTATTCAAAAAGGGAGGTTACGTAAGACTATACACCTGGGGTGTCTGCTCTGGTAGAGGATCCCCCGAGTTAAGTCCAAGAGCGTGTGGGCGCATGGACACGTCTAGATCAGGAGCAGGGAGATCGACAGTGAGATGGACCACCTGGTACCGCACAAACAACAGGAACAGGTGCGCTTCCGGATCGGTCCTCTGGGGATTTGAGAAGAACGAAAGACGAGGATCAAACTTGTAATATGAAAAATACACGGAAAGGCCTTAGGGTCTTCTGGACATCATTTATCTGGAAAAAAAGACACCGCTAGAGATAGACAAGGAAAGGACATAATAAAGATCACAAAGTATCAGACATATAGCGATGCCATCCTGGAGGATTCTAGAGGAGATCAGGAGCAACACTGCAGACATGAACAGAGCCGAGATATAGGTTGTGTACGTGGGGTGGCGCTACACTCCAGGATTTTCTCTCTCTTGTCATTTTAGAGAAAGTTGCATGTCTTTGAAAAAGGATACTTTTAAATGAGTTCTGATCTATTAGGGAAAGAATACTTGAATCAGTCTTTTTGGTAAAAAAGCTTAAAGAAACATGGATAAATGGGGAAAAAGGGGGAAAAACGAATTTTTAACAATTTTTTTATTTTACTTAGGTGATTTTACACAAATGATGCCCATTGCCCATATGCAATATTTCATTCAGATTCCTCAAACAATTAAGACAGGATTCCCAAATGTATTCAAATTGGTCAAACTAACCCTCCCCTTTCATAAATATTTGTCAAAAATAAGATACCAAAAAATGCTTTATTCTATGTAAAATCTATTCACCCTTTATTCTCGCCCTGTACACAAATAGGGGACAGGATTATTTTTGAAATTATAATAGAAGAATAAAAAATAATTAGAATAATATGAATAATAATGATTATAGAATTACAAATATTATGATAATGATATTGATATTGATATTGACAAATGACAGATGACAAATGACAAATGACAAATGACAAATGACAAATGACAAATGACAAATGACAATTGACAAATATTTATCTAGGTGGCATCTTGGGCGGAAAACTGGAGAAGTGTTGAGAATAATGGATCGAGGAACTAACTCTGTAAACTCTCTTCTTCAATATCTTGTCTTCAATATCCTACCAACCCTCATAGATATTATAGTTGCTGTTGTATACTTTGCTGTTGAGTTTAACATCTACTTCGGGTTGATTGTGTTTGCTACAATGTTCTTGTATCTGGGATCCACAGTTTGGATTACAGAATGGAGAACAAAATTTAGGTAAGTCAAATTTTTGTTATAAAACATAATACTAGCCTAAGTGCCCGGCGTTTCCCGTGAAACTTAAAAAACAAATTAAAAAAACCCTATTTTTGGAAAAATAATGTTAGTCAGGGTAATTATTATGTAATTTTTTAAAGTGCATTTACTACAATTCATTGATGTTAAATGTTCTAAATATTGTTAATTAATATAAGTAAGGAACTCTTACATACAATTCGTGGTCGGGTGGACTGGACTTATGTAAAAGGTACAGCTAGACACACTATCTAGTACCTATCTACCGCTCCACTAAGTCTAAGTTCTCTGGATTGGCCAAAATGGGACTGTTTGTGAATCTATGAATCCCCATTTGTCATCCATGAATGCGCGTTTCTTACAACTCTTAAGTCCACATTGATTTATATATAAAACCTTTTACTTAACGTAAAGGTACCCAGGAATCAATTCTGTAAAAAGGACAGAGTTTGCTCGAAGAAGCACATCCCGATCGTTAGTGCTGTGGTCGGCACCTCCCGGCTTATCATGGCTAACAACTGGCTCAATCAAAGAAACTACTCAGAAACTTTCAATACTTTCCTAAAATGATCATCCTAGGTTACTTGTGTCTCGAGCATAAATGGAAATTTAATTTAAGAACTGAGCTAGTTTGTTAAATTTCTTATTATTTAAATAAGATAAAATTAATTTAGGTAAAAATATTTGAATCCTAAACAATAAGGACACAACACCATTCAGTTGTTGATGAAGTGATGAATAGACCGGGCTGGAACGGGTTCACCTGTGCAAGAAATAAATTTTTAAATTTTATTAAGTTTCCGGATTGTGCCTTTAAATAAAGAAACAAAAGTTTTTTTAAAAATAATTTGCAGATTAATAAGTTTGGTCAATGAACAATATTTAAAAATTGCTATTATGAATATCTTCAAATCTGGGATTAGCTTAACTTTAAGTCTTGATTTTTAGTACCGCTCCTAAGTTTTTATTTACTGTAATTAATTAACATTTTAAGTTTTGATTCGATTTAAGCATAAATTTTTGTTTCTTTGAAGTAGAATCTGAAGTTAGCTTAAGTATGATTATATAAATTTTGGCACCTATAAACTTTTTGGATTTTATCAATTGGGATATTTTACTGTCATTACAATAGTTATTATTAAAAATTAGATATCCTGATTTTTTTATACATTCTAACCAAAGAATGTTGGAGTTTTATGCATAATTATCAATAATTGTAATTTACAAAATAAAGCTTTTAAGTTTTTAATTTGGGTTTTTTCAGATTTTATGAATTGTTTACTAAGACTGATCTTCAAACTATTGAGTTTAACTTCGGTTTCAAAGGTTACGAGATCAACAGCTATTCTATTGAATCAGGAGATATGTTCGGTTTTGGAAAACGTAAAGGAACTGAGTTCCCAGTTTTATAATAATAAAAAGGTATTTAAGCTGTCGTCAGGGACAACTTTGTTTTATCATTTTATAATTTTAAAATGTTTTGTATTCAGAAAGCTAATTAATCATGGATTACTGTCCTCCCAACGCAACCCTGTCTGGAGTTCTTCATGGAGAAGTACACAGATGCTTTCTTGATACAGTCACAGGATATTATCATAAAAATATTAGAATATATACTTTGCTTGTCTGTTTGTATCCAGTAAATGTCAAAACGACTAAAACGATCGTAGCGAAATTTTTTTGTGGGACCTCACATGACCCCAGGAAAGGTTTATGGATGATCAAAATTTCAAAAATTAATCTCAAACAAAATTCGATTGAATTAAGTTTTGAAAATCCACACATTTTTTTTTATAAAATCTGCGAACTTTTGTAGTTGGTTTTGTTTTGCAATGTATACCAAGAGAAAATGTTCATTATTGAAATAGAAGCCCAGTATTAGAATATTTCTTTCATACAGATTTCTTTTTAATGCTCCCTGACTTTCAAGGGAAAATTTTTTATAGTTTTAAATTCAAAGATTTTGGAATAAAGAAAAGGAATTTGTAAAAAAAATCTGAAGATTTTCTCAAAATTTCCTTATTCGGAAAGAGCGACTATCAATATATATGAAAACTAGCTAAAGGGCCTGGCGTTGCCCATGGCAAAAAAAATAAATTTAAAAGAAAATTCTAATTTTTTCAGCCTGTAACACCTCCCGGCCATCCATGAGTGTCCACAAAAAAATTCAGCCCAATCGGTCCAGCCGTTTGGCTGGCTATAGGCATTATATATATACGAATGCCTTGTTTTATTATAAAGAATAACGATTTCCTTCTAAAACGTATTTTGGTATTTATTATAATTCCAACAGATCCCTTCCTGTTGGTTGTTTCTCTACTGGCAGGGTGTCACCAATATAAACTATATTCTACCTTCTCTACTCCACTAGACTCTACCAACTTTAATTCTTCATATTTATTCTATCTTCAGGAAACAAACCTTTATACTTCTACTCGATTAGATTTCACTGGGAAATCACTATTGTGACAATGTCAGCAAATAAAATCTTTTTTATTATAAAGTACAATCGTTGCGGCAAATTTGTATACAATGATAACGCATGTCAATTTCAATTCTTGATTTCTTCCAAGCTTTTTAAAAGCTTGGAAGAAATCAAGAATGCACAATACTCATAAAAATGGAAACAAAAAGAAGCTGTCAAGGAACAGATTTTCTTTGTTAAACTTCAAGGTCTCCCTGATTTTTTTAAGCATTTCTGATACTGTTTTTTGTGGGGTTTTTCCCTTCCCTCTTCCCCCTTTTCCCTTCCCTTTTTTCCCCTTTTCCCTATTTTCCCTTCCCTTTTCACCTTTCCCCTTTCCTCTTCCCATTTTTCCCTTCCCTCTTCCCCTTTTCCCTTCCCTCTCCCTTTTCCCCATCCCTCTTCCCCCTTTTTCTTTCCTTTCCCCTTCCTTTTCCCCTTTTTCCCTTTTCTCTTCATTTTTTCTTCATTTTTTCTCCCAAACCCAGTGAAAGCTCATATTTTGCCCCCCAGAAAAATATATGCCCCTGTTGAAAAGTGTCATAATGAAAGAGAACCTCCAGGAAACAACATCAGGACAAATACAGTGAATCTTCAGTTTAAAATATTTAATAAAGGTTTTGTTCTAGTTATTTCTTCATGGATTTCTGCCTGTAATTAATATACTGAGTTTTATTACTGGTATATTTGGGTTTATATCTCCAGTACACGGTGTTGATATACTTAATATCATCACGGGAACTTTACCTTGGTTCTTTACAGGTAATTAAAGATTCTCATTATAGGTAACAATACAGGGTTACACTCGTCAAACGCTGTCATTCATAAGACTGAAATATTTTCCCCAAAACTAATTTTAATTTAATGTAGTTTATATTGTTAATAAAATATTAGTTTTGACTTTCCCTAAATTGTTATTGAAAATATGCTTTATTTAANACACTCTTACAAATTTGTAATAGTTAAAATCATTCCTTATATTATATCTAACAGTACTCTTGAAATATTTAATAGAGAATGCTCATTGCTCCCTCCTACCCACCTTGTTTAAACTAATCTAGAAATTGTATTCCATGAATCAGGAGTTCTGCTCCATATGGAGCGAGGACGGCAGCTTCCAGTATCTCCAACTAACGGTCATGGACCAGTTCTACTCATCTTCTGGACACTAGCATTCATGCAAGTAAAACCTATTTAAACTTAATTAAACGATTATAATACAAGGTCATAGGGTTTCTGCCCCCCTCCACCAAAAATCTCCCCCTTGTCAGAAGGGGGGATTTAAAAAAAAAATAAATACCCCTGTCATATTATTTCCTAGATAAATTAAATCGATGGAAGTTTTTGAAGCAAGTTTTATTGAAGAATTAAACAATTATAATCATTCTCTTGGTGCATTAAAGAAACTGTGAACATAATTTCAAGTGACCTTCCATTTGTGAGTGGCATGGCCAATTCAAAATTGTAATTTAAACCTTTTGTATGCTCCTCCAGAAATACGAAGTTCTTACCTTTTTCATTCAAAGAAACGCTTGCAATTGTTAATATTTTAGATGAAAAACGGTTTTTTAATTTAAGAAAATGATTATTAATTTTTCGGTAGTAATTTTAAGACTGTGTAGCACAAAATATATCCAGAATTTAAGAAATTCTAGTACGGGAAATATGAAACATCATTTTCATGGAGTTCACTCTGTACACTTAACAGTTTACAACTGTACATAACAAAAGTGGGAAACAGTAAAGAAATAAGCTACCAGCGCCCAGCATGTTATATTCAGAATGAAAAATAAGGATTTCTTTGTAGCTTATGATCAGATAAAGGTTTTGAGGATGAATGTGATAAAAACCTTTCGCCTTACGAATTTTTTACCCCCTCACAGTTTCTGGGCCTTTGAAAAATTTGGCCTTTACGACACTTTTAAAGTAAATTTCATATTTCAGCAATTTTGTCAAACCTTTCTAATTTGTATTTTATTTCAGGCTAATATCCGACTTTGTGGCCTAACCCGTGAACCTTGGTGGGCTGGGTTTTACAGTTGGGCAGATTATCTGGACTGTATTCTGTATATAGCAACCTATCTAACCACATCTATACTATTTATACTTGGAATACGGGCTCCAGGTGATTATCTGAACTGTATCCTGTATATAGCAACCTATCTAACCACATCTATACTATATATACTTGGATTACGGGCTCCAGGTGATTATCTGGACTGTATTTTGTATATAGCAACCTATCTAACCACATCTATACTATTTATACTTGGAATACGGGCTCCAGGTGATTAATTGGACTGTATCCTGTATTCAACTGAATGGTGTTGTGTCCTTATTGTTTAGGATTCAAATATTTTTACCTAAATTAATTTTATCTTATTTAAATAATAAGAAATTTGACAAACTGGCTCAGTTCTTTAATTAAATTTCCATTTATGCTCGAGACACAAGTAACCTAGGATGATCATTTTAGGAAAGTATTGAAAGTTTCTGAGTAGTTTCTTTGATTGAGCCAGTCGTTAGCCATGATAAGCCGGGAGGTGCCGACCACAGCACTAACGATCGGGATGTGCTTCTTCGAGCAAACTCTGTCCTTTTTACAGGATTGATTCCTGGGTACCTTCACGTTAAGTAAAAGGTTTTATATAAAAAGCAGATTTTACTTTATACAGCTCGACTATAGAATATATACAGAAGGATGCATTATACATTTTACAGATGATCAAGTTGACAAGGCACTTTCTTTCGTATTGTTTACAGCAAAACTTGATTATTTTCTGTTCCACTTATATTTTGGATTATGTGAGGAGAAGTCTTAATAACCCCTAGTCAGGGGCGTATACAGGGGCAAGTAATTGATTTCCCTTGGGGCTTTTAGTCCCGCTGGAATATGGATGTTTTGAATTGAAAAATTTGACCAAGAATAATGTCCAGTTCAAAAGTTTTGGTAATTCCGCCCCTGTCCCTGGTGGTTTGAATAGTTGCATTTATCTGTTAAAGAAAAGAAAAAAACAATTATATTTAGGAAAAGAATGAATGAGAGTGATAACGCTCAGCGAGCTCGAGGAGTTGATTCTCTGCTAAATGCTGAAACTGTTAAATATTATTCAATGGAAGATTGGGAAGTTTTCAAGTATAGAGAAGCAATCTGTAATTATCAAGGTGTTTATAGATTCATTTAAGAGACGGCTCATCTGTAAACATTAGAACCACACTTGAAGGGGCTGATTCATCTGGTGTTCTGTCTCACTTTCCCTTATATAGTCTGTATGTGTACTGTTCATCTGTTAACATTAGAACCTCACTTGAAGGGGCTGATTCATCTGGTGTACTGTCTCACTTTCCCTTATATAGTCTGTATATGTACTGTACAGCTTTTTAAAACTTAACAGTCGGCCAGGTACTTGAAATGAACCAGAGTTTACAGTGTAACATAAACTCCTATTGTTATATTTCCATAAAAGTCAATTCTTCTATAATATTATTTGCGTATTTATGTGTGTGTGTGGGGGGGGGGTGCGATTACGAAAAAAAATTGTTGATTTATATTTGTACAATGTACACTGGGAATCCTAATATACTATGGAACTGGAAGACGACTGTTCTTCTCAAATTATGACTTTATATTAAAGCAAGTGTGCATTATGCAGTCTACACTCTACACAGGCCTATTTTATTTAGTAAGTTGATTTTTAAGCAAGAAATAGAAATAAATTTAGTTTAAAAATCGTCTTCCTATTCCATAGTTCTATGGGTCTCACTGTATAATATCTCATTTCTACCAGAACGCAATACATTTCAATAATTCAGTTCAAATTCAAATAGTTCTAATATCAGTGATTTGCCATTCAAGGTTATATATTATATATGAGAATATTTTCCCGACAATATTTATCCATGCAGATATTTTCCTGACAATATTGATTCATGGAGATAATTTCCCGACAAAATTCATCCATGGAGATATTTTCCCGACCACATTTATCCATAGAGACATTTTCCAGACAATTTGTATTCATGGAAATATTTTCCCCATAATATTTATCCGTGTAGATATTTTCCCGACAATATTTATTCATCCGATTATTTTTCCGATGATATTTATCCATACAGATATTTTCGGGACAGTATTCATCCATCAGATAATTTCCCGACAATGTTTTTCCATACAGATATTTTCCCGACACTATTTATTTATGTAGATATTTTCTCGACAAATTTATTCATGTAGATTTTTTCCCGACACTTTTTATCCATGGAGATATTTACCCGACACTATTCATGATTGTAACGAATAATGTTAAAACGCTGAGTAATTATTTTTTGTCCTTTTATTTTGATTTCTACACAAGAAGTCCGTAATAGAAGGGAGATACAACTGACCCGACCCGCCCTACCATATGATTATACATGCTTTACAGAAGGTACTTCATTTTTGATAAGAAATATTTGTCTGATGTACAATATTTCTTATATAAATGGAGTACCCGTCTGTAAAGCATGCATAATCATATGGTAGGGCCGGCCGCGTTAGTTTTATCTCCCTTCTATTCCATACTCCTTGATTTCTACACAAGCAGACACAATATTTTAACTTGCTTAATATGAGAAAACAAGCCAAAATTGATGGTTAAACCAGGCCAAGTTCCCAAATTGTTTTTATTTTATTTTAGAAATGGAGTGGCAGAGCATGGCAAGCCTTCAGTTGTTAAATTTGTTCCAGAGCATTGTTATTAACGGAGGCTTGTTCGGAGTCTCACTATACTGCACATACAGAGTATCTACCGGGGATTATACTGTCGGAGATTTTGTTCTTCTTGGAACATATTTTATCCAGCTGATGAGTCCGCTTAACTTCCTGGGTTCAGTGTATAGAGCAATACAGGAGAGTTTTATAAACATGGAGAATATGTTTACACTGCTAGAAGAAAATATTGAAATTCAGGATTCCCCTCACGCAGTGGAATATATCCAGGACAGTGCGCCACCTCAGATAGAATTCAGAAATGTATGTTTTAACTATTTAGAGAACAAATCTGTTCTTCATGATGTATCATTCATTATAGCTCCAGGTACAGTTACAGCAGTTGTAGGTCCTACTGGGGGAGGGAAATCAACCCTGGCTAAACTTCTTTTCAGACTGTTTGATGCTGAGGAGGGTGGGATTTATATAAATGATAAGAACATCAAGGAGTTTAAACTCAGCTCCTACAGGTCGGATATAGGTGTAGTTCCTCAGGATACAGTTCTGTTCAATGATACTGTCGGATACAATATTGGATATGGCCGGCAAGGATCGTCGCAGGACGAGATTGAAGCGGCGGCCAAGATGGCTGAGATTCATGAGACAATTATGCAGTTCCCGGACGAATATGATACTCTGGTAGGAGAACGAGGTTTAAAGCTGTCAGGAGGAGAGAAGCAAAGGGTTGCTATTGCAAGAACTCTTCTCAAGAAACCTAATGTTGTCATATTTGACGAAGCTACGTCCTCACTTGATACTCAAACAGAACAACTCATTCAGGAATATTCAAATATTCAAATATTCAAATATTCAATATTCAAATATTCAATTTTCAAATATTCAATACTCAATATTCAATATTCAATATTCAAATATTCAATATTCAATATTAAAATATTCAATATTAAAATATTCAATATTTAATATTAAAATATTCAATATTCAAATATTCAATATTC